AGTTGGTGCTGGTCTCTAACTGGACCTGGTCCCAGTTTGATGTTGCAGGTTGTGCATCTTTCTCCCATCCTGCTGTGTCTCCCAGCTTCCGGCTGCAGGTCTGGTTCAGGCTCCTCTGCTGCAAGGTGAGGCTGGGCAACTGCTGCTGAATCACACACAGCAGTGGGGCTGATGCAGCAAAACAATCACAATTGCATCTTGATTATGTCACAAGGATTTTTAAGCAGAGTGAAGAATGTTCAGAGTGAGCAAAATGTCACAGTTATTTTGATTTTCAGCAATGTCTTCTTTGCACACCCAAAATCCTGCAGCATCAAATGTCAAATTTGCCTGAATCAAGGGTTTAAGTTATAGAAATATAAATGGGTAAAAAAAAAAAGAACTGATCAGTGAAACATCTGTATAACAATGAAATTATTTTATATATTTTTTGTGTACTAATTCAGGTGGAATTTTACTGTGAAAAATTAGGGATTATCTGAGGAAACAGGAATAAACATCATCCTCTTCTTTACCAGATTATTATTTTTTATTTTCCACTCTTAATGTGACATATGTTCTTATTGCTATTTTTATTAAATTATGATAATTCCAGCAGCTACATGTTGTTGGAATTAAAATGAGCCCAAAAAAGAATACTTTGTTGTTTTTCCAATAAAATTGCACAAAAATACAGATTGACTAATTAGAGCAGTAATAACAGTCCCCCTTTAAATATGTTTTTCTTTTAAAGCTGGTCATATTTTAGATGGTTGTCAGCTTCAGCTTTTTTCTTTTTTGTCACATCATGATCATGGAAATGTAATGAATTATATTGGATTTAAATTATTAGTTCCAACATGAAACTGGAAGCAAATGACTTGGAATCATAAATGCAGGTAAAAATACAAAAGTGTCATGTATCTTCGTATTCTTCCCAGAGTCAGTGCTTTGCTGAACTACCTTTTTTGTAATTAAAGCTGCTTTTGCAGAAATAGAAGCTAAAATATTTGCCTAACAAGTTCACATTTCCTTTGCTTTAATCGGGCCGTTGTATTCTGCAGCTCTGGCTGGTAGAAAGGTAAACCTCTGCCCCAGTCTCCTGCCTTTTCCACCTTTTTTCTGGGAAAAAGCAAACTGGATTTTATATAGTTATTTCTTCAAGATTAATTTTCTTTTTGACATTCTTCTTTGATGAGCATACAGAGGGAGTCTTCTACATTTGCAGTAGATTTTATTAGGATTATTAGATTAAAGGAGGATGAGTTTATTGTGTCTTTAAAATGAATAAAGTTGTTTTTTTTAATAGGCTACCACATGGCAAAGCTGTCACAATAAGAAAAAATAAAAACAGATTTTTAATTAGATTTTTAGCAAGCATCACTTTGTGTAGCACAGTAAAATTCATTGCAGTTTTCCACTGCAACAGAAAAGTTTGCAGACTATGAATAATCCTGGAGGTGACCATTTAATAGCCTGCTGTGTTCTCTGCTGTTGTCTGCTGCATTGTTCCCTAAAAGAACCGTGTCAGGAAATCCTCCTGGAACAAAAGAAGTCACAACTCAACAAAGGTCTTTTCTTTGATCTTCACTTCGGTGGTGGCGTCCACTTAAGACCCCCGCTCCCTCTGTCCGGTTCAGGCCCTCCACTAGCTTCTTTCTCTGCAGCAGAGAGTGGAGCCGGTCCTCATTCACCTCCTCCTCCTGCATATCTGCAGCTTCTGAACCCAAAAGAACTCAAAAAAGAGGGGGACTGCAGAGACACATAAATGTTTGATCTAATTTGTTTGTTTTGTCTTGGTCTGTATTTATGATTTATAAACATTTAGAAGCATCAGAGTCTCTGTTTGTTATTCAATGAAAGTAAAACCTTTATTTCAAATGGATATATCCAATAAAAATATTTATAAATATGCACAATGGCACCTCTCTTTTATGTAAATTTGGTGAGTGAGCATCAACTCTGAGGGGTCAGCCAAGAGATGAGCCATTCATCTCAGGATTTAGCTGTGTGGGGCCCTCCTGTGGTCCTGTGTGGACACTGCACCTGAGCTTCATCAATGGACAGACAGGAAGACAGCAGGTCAGAGGGAAGTTTGCTGTTTGACCCTCTTTCCTACTGTCTACCGCTTCAACTCCCTCCTTCTCCTAGCCTTCACGTCCCGTTCCTTCAGACAGCTCCTGCATCTGCTGCCTGAAAACAGACACTAACTTTATACATTGTCTGAATGAATTGTAATTTATTATAAATTTAAAATATTTATTTAATAAAGATAAATTCTATCTCATATAGTCATCTGAGTGTCAAAGGAAAAAAGAAACTTTATATAAAACAGTATTTTTGTTTTATGCACCTTTTAAAAAGCAGCTTGAATTAAGGGGTGCATTTCAGTTCAATTAGAAAATCACCAAAAGTTTTACTGTTCATGATTAATTTAAAGTCAAATTCATGCAACTTCATTATAATCAGATTGATATGCAGCATTACTTGCACCGATTTTAATATTTTAACTCACAGCTAATGGAAAGCAAACATTTGATTTCTCGAAATATAAGATAAAAATAATCATAGAAAGGAATTTATTGGTTTAATTGTTGGTTAATTTCAATGTTTTGGTTAGTGTCCCCCTTGAAGAAATTACTGCATTAATGCAGCGGGGCATGGAGGCCATCAGCCTGGCCTCTGCCCCTGCAGGTCGTCTACATTGTTGATGCCCTTGTGAGAGAACATGGTGGAACGACACAAAGAGACAAGATCACACCACAAACCATCTCTGAATGTGGAGAGTTCACACTGGAACTCAAGCAATATGGAGTTTATTTGGTATGGAATCATCTTCACACCAAGATTGTGGTATTTTCAGAGAATATCTAAGAATCTGCCATTATCCCAAAAGATTTTTAAGATGGTGCAAATTACAAAGCAAGACCTCAGACATTAAATGTATGGAGGATTAATAGTGCCACAAAACATTAAATATATATATATAACATATGAAATTATTACTTATATGTGTTGTTCATTTATCTAAACAGACAAAAAAAACTTTAATAAACATATAATCAAATATATGGGCCTCAGTTAGATATATTGATTTCATTTAAAAAGGGAGCATAATTATTTCATGATTAAATAAATTATTTTATGTTCCTGCTGAAGGGAAATATTGATTCATTTAAACTGTCACACATCCATTAAAGTCAAGGAGGCGGGACTAAGGCTGCTTCCTTAGAAACCCTGAGATGTGATTGACTGTTTCTTTCCTGTTTTCTTTCACCCCAAAGTTAATCTTTCCGCAAGAAAAGAAGAAAATAATCTTCTAAAAGATGTTGGCCTTTATTTAGGCAAAGTGGGTAAGCAAATACAGCTACTTTGACCTTTAGAATATCAATTAGAGAGCATGAGCAGGTGTTAATTAGCGTTATTAATTAGTGGGCGGGGCTAACTTTGATTCTGCTGAAGTCTCCAGCAGCTTCCCTCATACCACAGCAAGCTCTCTCATGATACTTTTTCAAAAAAGTAAAACGAATCAAACCACTCTAGTTTTATTTTATTTTTTTTCCCAAGTTTGAAGACGTTTCACTTTCCAGCCTGAAAGCTTTCTTAATTCAAAATGTCTGGAGTGGTGTTGAGTTCCAGGCTTATAGGGTGGCCTTATTATGCCTTAGAAAACATGCAAATTGAATAAAAAAAAACTGTAATGGGAGTCATTGAAGACTTCCCATTACTAAGGTGTGGATTTGTATTTATGTCTGATTGTTTTATAACTTTTTTGGAATGACTATGACCTGGATGACTGAGAATCTTCATCATCTTCAACTCAAGATATATTCCAGATATATTTCAGATTTTCATCTAATGTGCTTTAAATAAACATTAACAGATTGTAAAAAGTATTTCTGCCTCTTTGTGCGATAATATCAACTTTAGAGTAAAAGAAAACCAGGATGAAGACATTTTATCTTCATTGGTGAGAGGCAGCCAATGAGAAGATGAGGTTTCTAGGGAGCAGCCATAGTCCCGCCTCTTGACCTTGATGAATCTGTGACAGTTAAATCTATTCATGGTGTGCTTCAGCATAGGAACATTGAATAATTTATTAAATCATGAAATAAATATATTTACATAAATTAAATCACTACATTAAACAAATTATATATTTATTAAAATACATTCTGTAGCTATTTACAGTTTTAATAAATTCATGATTCATTTGAATAATTATTTCAAAGGTATTTATTTGTTGAATTGCGACACTAAGGTTTGAGGCCTTGCTTGAATAAATCAACCAATAGATCACAGTCTGCTAAAAAGACAGGGGTTTAAATTTTAATCCTTTACTCTTTTTTTGTGAATTATGTTTTCAGCCTTCCTCCATTGAGGAATACAAAAAGCTCCATCTATTAGATCTAGAACTGCAAACGAATGAGTAAATAAATGAGTGAATAGGCAGGGTGCTTCCTGGGTGTCATTCATTAAATAACCACCACTGAACTGATGCAACCAGGTTTGCAGATTTTTTTGCATGTAGCTATAGATTTAAAATACATTTTAATTGTTTCTCAACTTACATACTGGATAATGTATATGCCACATTTATTATTGCCATTATTTTACCTGGGGTATAGACTTTTAGATCCACTGTCAGCATATTATTCTACATGAATGATTTAAGCTTTCCTCTTTTTCTGCTCTGAACTTCTGACCTCTAACTGGACTACCTCTTGTCGTCCAAACGTTCCACCCGCCAAGCACACTCCCCCCCTGGCCTTGGATGCAGCCATATTCTGGAAGAGCGAGCTGCTGTGTTGGAAGCACCTGTGAGGTAGATCTGTTTCACCCCCCCCATAGGTGTTTGGCTTCATACTCCTCCATCTGTTCCACTATGGCTGCCTTGCACTGTCGCAGCTCCTCTCTCCTGGTGGTCAACATAAATGTGTGCATTAACATGCCTCTGCTACCTGTGTGTCCAATGCAGACCTACAATGATATATATGTGTGTGTGTGTCTTGCTGTGACCTTGAAGGCAAACTCCACACCTCATTTCCTCACCTGGCCTCAGTGGGGAGGTTTTGCTGCAGCCTGTCCTTCACCCTGCATCTCTCCGCCATGGTGTGACGGTCACAGGCGCCGAGGTTGAAGAGAGCCGGGTTGTTGTACAGCAGCGCTTCCTTTACCTCCAGGTTTAGCTCAGAGTCAGTGGAGAAACTCAGGGAGTGATTCACCTGGACATGCAGAAACACACTTTAATGAACGTTACTTCTGAACCTTGCTTGCTGGAAAATCGTAAATAGGGCATTAAGGGTTCACAGCCTTTTAAAGTTCCACTTTATTCATTTTTTTTCTGTTTCTTCCTTCCAGTTTGAATATTTTTGTTCTTTTTTCTGATTTAATATCCCAGATCATCAAACCAACTTTTATAATCTAATTTAATATTGTATAACAATCCGCTTTCAAATGACCCTAATTTTTAGGAAAGAAAAAATGTTAACACTTTCCAACAACTATCATCACCATCATGTATAAATGGTTAAAGAGAACATTTTAAATGAATAACAGATTGTTCATTAATATTTGATAATAATTTATAAACTGCATCTAAACCATTTCTTAAAGGCAAACAGATCATATTGTCCTGCTATGTTGAATTATCCCTTTTATTTTTAATTCAGCATGTTGGAATTACTCCAACCTTAACATCAGTGGGCTTGATAACTATATACATGGTTTACATTTTACAAATGGTTTACATGCATGTTATAAATGTTCCGTTAATCATTAATAAATTATCTCTGTACCATTTATAAATTACAGTTATTGTTATTAAGTGTAACAAAAATGCAAAACACACTGTCTCCATATAAAATGTGATTGCCCACTAAAACTTAAATACATTGAACAGGTTAAGCAACCCCTGACGCATCTGCTATCAAACTTTTTTGGTAATTGGTGGTGAGACTTTCACACCGCTGTGGAATAAATCTGAATTTAAATCCACATTTTTACAATACTTGTTATTATTTTTAGGGGCATCCATTAGGAGTTGGACTTTTAGCATGTTTATATTACATCTGATATAAAAAGCAATTATGCTCTGGATCATAGAGCAGTTAAGACGGACAATAGAGGGCTTATAAATTCCTGGATAGAGTGCCATCTGTAAGATAAGATGGACAAGTTAACGCCTCTCCTTTCTTTTGCTGACTTTCTTTTTTTATATATTTTTTTCACAAGGACATTCATTCTAAACCAAAAATTCAACCATTAACCCTTTAAAGATATATTTCAACATTTCACATTTGATACATAAGCTTTTGAGAGCTCTGCATCATGAGTGCAATATTTTTGTTCTTGAAAACAGATTCACCCAATCAGACATGTGTAGTGAACAGAAAACACATTAAATATTAGACAGAAATGTCCGGTGTTTCAAATTTGATGCAAAGATAATCTCATTTAACCTTCATTTTTCAGGAAGTTCAATGACAACTCTAAAACAAAAAATGAATTTCCTGTCAATTACTTAATGTTCTAGGCTTTAAAGGGTTAAAGAAATAGTAAGAGAAATCATGGGTCCCCTTTAAGTTAAAGTGAACCTCAATGGACAGAAACCTTCAGTAAATGTTTTAATCTGTTCGTAAGGCGAGCAGATCTAGACTTCTGACAGATGAATCTAAAGGCATAAACTTGGCTAAATGAATTGCAGGTTTAACAACAAACTGAGTTGTCTACATCTCACCTCCTGCAGCCATGGTTTGAGCTGCTAACATCAGCACATCCAAGTCGAATATCTCAAAGCAGGCGCTGGCAGTGTGTTGATGGGGAAAATATGGCAGGCAGTTGTGCTTTAGGGTGGAGTGAGGGCATCTCAGCGTCTTGATGATGATATCCATTTAATTCTGAATCTTCTCTTGTTCAAGCTGTTGACGTATATGCTAAGGCCCGACAGCTATCAAATTGATAAAAACACACAAAAGAAAAAAATTGCTGATTTGTTTTTTACAGTAAAACACAATTTTCTTTATCATTTTCCGACTGAGTCCTTCATCTCTGACAAAGTTCTCCCTGTATCTGTTTATGGAGTAGCTTGTGAAGTTGATGCACACATCATCCTAAAGTTGGAGACAATACTTTATATAGTTTATTCGAAAAACTGTGTCTGTTAGATTATGGCTCTATGCAGGCTGGTTATTGTTAGCTCACTGTAACTTATCAAAGCACCTACAAGAAACAGATTATACCACAAAAACGAAACACCACAGAACACCTGCCATGTTGCTTTGGGAGGGTTCATTGTACTCCATGGTAAAAAAGCAAACCAAACCTTTCTCAAACCAGAATAGACTGAATGCAGCACAAGATGTCACTACAACATAAATCCTCAGGTTAAACTTTTATTTGTTGGTTTTGACAGGCTGCAGGAGAAATGATGGACGGGTTTACATCAAACTGTGTGAAGGGGGTGTTCTCTGGTTTACAAATGAATAACCACTAATGAACGTAATTTTTTGGGGGGGCATGTCAACTGAACTTTTTCAAATGTCCGNAGGAGAAATGATGGACGGGTTTACATCAAACTGTGTGAAGGGGGTGTTCTCTGGTTTACAAATGAATAACCACTAATGAACGTAATTTTTTGGGGGGGCATGTCAACTGAACTTTTTCAAATGTCCGTTTTGGTCCCCTGCACGTTTAACTATCCAAAAACAATGTTACGCTTCTGTCACAGTCTTGGTTCTGTTATGTTTTCTTTTGAGTATTCAGTTAAACTTTGCTCCATGTCTTCTAGTGTTTTTTTTTTAATTTAATTTTTATTTAAATTTTTGCACCTTACACAGACATATACATACAAGCCCATAATCAGGCTGCTGCTCTAAACGGTGTACTTAAAAAATAACAAAACTTAAAAAGTATATACAACAAGTTAGGCTTACAAGTGAAGTAGGTCACATGGTTAAATATAAGTACTTACAAACATAAATGTAGTTAGTAATTAAATAAGCAGCACCAATGGAAATAACAAAAATTTAATAGAAAATAATAAGTAAAGATAAAAAAGTACAATAGAAATGAAATAGAATACAATGAAAGAAAGAAAAAAATTTTACCGTAATAAAATAAAAAATGAAAAAATAAGTTTTACTGCATTAATATGGTCATGGCCAGTTTCCACCTATTAACAAATATGTGTTTTTGAAGCCTCAGGCAATAAGTTATTTGTTCAATATGATAGATTTCCCAGACCTTTTCAATTCCCATTTTGTATATTGGCGGGTCAGGCTTCAACCATTTAACTGTGATGCATTTAAGAGCTGCAATTAGTAATATTTGTGGAAGGTTTTTTTATTCCTCTTCCAGTAACGTGTTTTCGTAATAATCCAAAAAGTACCACCTCAGGGTCTTTGTTAAAGGTTTTCTGAAATACTTTTCTAAGGGCCTTGAATATCTCGTCCCACAATTTTCTCAATTTAGGACATGTCCAAAATATATGAGTATGGTTGCCGATGTGTGACCCACAACTTCTCCAGCATTTATCTGAGTATATGGACCCCATTTTAGATATGACCGCTGGTGTCCTAAAGAAACGTATTATTATGTTCCACCTAAATTCTCACCATGTATTAGAGTTAGTGACTTGATGTGCTGCAGTACATATTTCCTCCCATTTGTCTTGCTTGTCTTCTAGTTTTATTGGTTTAATTCTTATTTTGTTGTGTTGCCCTCTTGGGTTGGTCTCCTTTTTCCGTAGCTCCTTAGACTGCTCTGTTCACACCTGCTCCCAATCTGCTCGTTAGTTCTCTCTTTGTTCAGTTAGCCATAAATAATCTGTTAGTGTAGTTCCTCAGTGCTGGTTCCTCGTCTAACTTCTTCCAACTCCGTCTTACTGTGTCTTCCTCGTCGTGATGGTTTTCCTTTGAAGTCTCCATGGTTTCTGGTTTGTTTTACGTTTTTCATGTTTGATTTTGGGATTTCTGCCTCAGTTGTCTGTTGACCTTTTTATTAAATTTACAATAAACTCACCTCTGCCTCCCTGCCTCTGCATTTGGGTCCTCAAACCACAACCAAATCTTGACAGCTACAGTATATTGTTGAGCACTAGGACCAAATGGAAAACTGCAGATTAAGCAGCCCGCTTCCCTGAGTTCAGACCACCCACAAGCTCCTGATTGGCCCACTGTCTTATTTTGTGTGATTGCCTGTCACTGCTGTCACTCCTGAGAAGCTCACTTTGCAAGTATCTGATGCACCACTGAAGCAGGTCTGTGAATGGATGGTGAAAAACGCTGAAGTTAGTTACATTAAAAAAATAGCTGTATCCCCCCCAACTTCTGATATCAAAATTTCGTCTATGTAACCACTGCTTCTTCTTTTCCATGTCCCAACCACAAATATCAATGTTTAATTGATTTTAATAGANCCAACTTCTGATATCAAAATTTCGTCTATGTAACCACTGCTTCTTCTTTTCCATGTCCCAACCACAAATATCAATGTTTAATTGATTTTAATAGACAGCAACATATAGTATGTGATTTTAAAATGGAAACAAGTTGTCATATAGTTTTAATACCTTTCTAATTATTGTTTATTCAGCCCGTTAAGTCGCATTCTTCTGGAGCAGGGGTAACCAATTAAAAATCAATGGGGTCCGAATAAAGAAAATCAACAACCAGACATTTTTAAATATAATCTGTTACTTTAAACAGAATTTAACACTGAAATAAAATTAGGTGTTTATGCATCCATGTTATACATCGACTTTGTAAATCAAAAATATATTTAAAAATATAGAACATTTTTCCATTTAAAAATCTAAGGTGTTTTTTTGAGTAGAGAACAACAATCGTTCATTGTGGTATATAGACAGTTTCCTGATTAATATATTTCATAAAACACCTGAACTGACAATTTGTTCTTTTTTCTTTCTTTTTTCTGTCTTAATGAGAGCAGTGGGCTTTGGGCTGCCCTGCAAGGCTTTAAACCCGGGTTTGAATCGAGACTAAGCCATTCTCAAGCACATATCAAAGTGCTCATTTTGAGCCTGGGTCCATATTTATTTTTGATTCTGTTTATGGTGGAGAATCCTGCTTCACAGCAGCAGGTTGAGCCAAACATATTCAAAATGTGCAGGATCATCTTTGAGCACGCCATTTCACTTTTATTTCACCAGTTCACAGCAGTTCTTCCAGCAGTCCACACTTTCTCTGCTCTATTTTTCTCAATGTCTTCTCCTTCTTTCCCATCGCCCGGCTTGTCACAGGTTTGCCCGCTGAGTCTAAAAGTAGCAGCAGCAGCAACCCAGACTGTGAGCAGCTCATTGGCTAATTTGTATCACGTGCAACCTGGTACCGGACGCTCTGGAGGGCTTTAACGTACAAATAGAAGTAGTGGTGCAAGTGAAATTAGACACTGCTATTGGACAAAATAGGGTAATTTATAAATGTTTTAAATCAGGTTGGGTCCAGATCAGCCAGCAAGTGGGTCCGGATCCAGACTGTGGTCCGCTAATCCATGCCCTTTGTGCTAGAGGTTTCCTCTTGGTTTGGTTTTAGTTGATTTCCTTCAATATTTACTGGTCTTTTCCATCAGGCACCCTATTTTCCTTCCACCCCAGCTGC